TCAGCCTTCCATTTTAGATCAATAGGGACTGACCGTTTGATCTAGATCTGACACCTCATAGTATTTTATTTTTTGTTTTTTCTTCAAATTATAAGAATATGCAATTTGGTATTTGCCATCATGTCAATAGAGTGTACCTAAAAAGAATATTAAAAATAATTTTTTTATAAAAACACAAGTTTTGATAAAATATAATGATCAAAATACCCTTTGAAACTTTCAAAGGTATTTGGGTCATTTTATTTTATAGAAAATATACTTTTTATATGTTTTACAGGTGCAACTTTAAGAGAGGAATGGACACCCAAATTTTGGAGCCAAAATAGTTTGTAAAAAAATTAAAAATAAAATAATGTAGTGATGTGATGTGATGTTGTGACTGTGGCCATCTCAGTCATCCATTTAAAATGGATGTTTGGATAGGGGGAAGCGTATAAGTTTTATGCGAGGAAGCATAGAAAGCTTGCTCAATTTACCAACATCTTTTTATCCACAAAAAGATAAACCTATTCAGATATGAGACTTGTGGAAGGATAGAAAGCTTGCCCAATTTATAATCTTGTTATCCACAAAAAGATAAATCTATTCAAATATGAGAGTTGTGAAACGGTGGGAAAATATTGAATTGTCTTGACAAATTAATAATAGAATCTTAAAAATCACCGGTAGAAGTATATGGAAACAAGTCATATAACATACAAAGCATCCTTCTTAGTCTACTTCAATATGCATTACAATAAACGGTGAAAATTGCAAAATTAATGAAATAATTTTCTTTGAATAATTACTTTTTAATTTGTTTGTACATATTCATATAATGCACAGATAAAAATTCTGAAAAAAATTAGTTAAATACATAAAATTTTAAAATAATAAGCAAATAAATAAATATTTAGAAATATCTACATAATATCTTGTTAACCCAAGATAATACTCTCTAAATTAATCCAAAAATAAAGAAAAGGTCGAAACAATTACTTACTTTCAACAAAATAAACGATGTTAAGCTAGATATATGTGAGAAGATATTTAGAAAATATTCAATACCATAGAGACAAATGGTAAAATATGAAAATGTAAAGATAATGGATGATTTCATGTAAATCACAATAAAAAAACTACATGTCTCCATGTATTTAGAGATTTTTCTAATTTCATATGACTCACGGTAATAAAACAATATGTCCCCATATATTTCGAAAACGTTTGGCATTCATACATGTGAAATCCTTCACATTATGTCATAACTATTAAGGAAAATGTATACTATTAAGGAAAATGTATACTATCTATAGGTTTAATATAGAAGGTGTATACTATATACAAGATATATGGCAAGGGTAGGTACAACATCACGCATTTTATAGAGTTGGTGTAATATTGTTGTCTATGACTCCTTTTTATTCTCATCATTTGTTATTTGTCTTTACTTATCATTTGTTATTGTCAACAGATGACAAGTTTGTATATTCATACATTAATGGACACCAGGAGTTCTCTTCAAAGAAACGTGAAATTCTAACATGTATCAAAGCTAGAGATAATCTTCACTCAGTTTTGTTATGTTTATGTATAATCGAGTCTACTATTATGCTATTATTCAATTTTGTTCTTATTTGAGAGCTGCTCCTTCTGTTCTTTTAGCTATCTTGACTACTTTTCTATCTCGGGCAAAAATCTAAATGTTTTTTATACATTGATGAAGTTTGTTGATCTATTATTGCTCGAGCTTGCCCTGTTCTTGCCTTCTGTTTATGAGACTTGTTGATCTGCCGTTGCTTGAGCCTGCATGTCCTTGCCTTCTACTCCTGAAGTTGGCTGAGCAACTTTGATTCTACTGAGCATCTCAATGACAAAGCAATATAGATATGTTGATTTTCATTTCCAAGTTCAGCTTGCTCTATCATTTTGTGCTTTTTGATCAAACAATCTGAACATGTGCATATATTGGTCCATATTTGTTGTACACTTGAAGAATCGACTGCATGTTTTCACAACTTACTGTACAAACTCCGACTCTCTCGGAGGATATTGTGTTTGAAGGGGAGTATTAGGAAAAGTGTTAGTATGGAAGTTGTATATTATAATCTATAACTATGAAAAGGAATTTATATTTTCTAGTAAGTGTGACTATATTATAGATGTCTTTGATTTATTTCTATTCTTATCATATGTTATTTATTTATATAAGACAAGTTTGTATATTCATATATTAATAGACTAAAAAAACTTGATATTAATAACATGAATTTTGTTTTTATGGGCATCTCTTAAGAAAAATAAAAGGCGTCAACAATTAAGCAATGAGGTGTGAGAAGTGATCTAATGCAACTGTTTTATCACAGTACAATGAAATGGTGTTTTGGCACAATATTATCCATTGGTTTAAATTAAATCCAATGGCTGGAATTAATATCTAAATGCTCTCCTTTCAAATTTTGAATTCAAATTGTAAACCCATGAAAACTCCAAATCATCTCGATTCTCACGTTCTCCCTCTTTCCCGCTTTCCTTTATATCAAGCCTCTCACCTTCTTTCTACAACGACAAAGGGCTCTCTCTGCGACTACCAGAGGTGTTCTCTCTGACCACCAAAGGACCTTTTAGCTGAGACTGCGTCTCTCTCTCATTTCTATTTTTGTTTTCTCTTATTACATGTGGGGAGCAGCAAGATGCAAACCCATTTCTGCAAATCGCTCTTCCTGCAAAGATTGAAGAACTTTCAGCACCTGCAAATCAAAACGACTCGAACCCTCATTCCATCTTAATCTCAATTAAAGCGGAAATCTTCTCTCCATCTCAATCCCCATCAAGATTGCAGGAAATGAATTCCCAATTCAAATCAGATTTGGGATTTTTGAATTGTAGATTTTTTTTCGCTTTTAAATTTTAAAAATATGGATTTTTCCAAAGGAAATAAATTTAATTATCGAAAAGTTTAGAATTAGGTCTGTCTCTTTTAAGATTTTTTTTTTTTTTTGCTTCTTGGGTTTTTAGTTTCTTTTATTAGATACTTTTTTCAATTGCTCTCTCTCTCTCTCACACACACACACATTTTATTCTACTTGTATAATACCTTTCTTTTATTCCACTTGCACAAAACGTTTTCTTTCCCTCTCTCTCTTCTTACTCTTTCATATGTATCTAAGGGTTTTGTGGGAGTTATGGTGTTTTAAAGCTTTTTATTGTTTTTAATCAATGAGATGTTTCCGTGAGTTAACTTATAAGAGTGTTAATTGCATTATTAAGAAATGTTTGCTTGAAAGTTTGTGATATGTTTGGGAAAATAATTGTGCGTTCTGAAATTGAGAGGTACCCATTAAAGTTCATTAGAAATACATCCAAAGGAGGTTCATACAGGGAGGTATGATGTGTGAGATTGTCGCCCCAATAGGAAATTTGGGTTCAAATAGTGACGTTGTATCACTGGAATCAGAGTTTGTTTTCCTTTTGGGAGGTGAGTTAAACTGCAGTCGTGATCTTGATCTGTAAAATCGCAAACCTTGATTACTTGGCAAAAAATCAGCTAGAGAACCCACGATATCACAATCTCGTGTGTATTTGTTTGTTTTTCATTTCAGTAGGGGATTGTCATAGTTTCTGCTCACTTCTTTTTTGCTTTATATTGAGTTTTTCTTACACTAAAAAGTTTACTCAACATGGAATTTGAAACTAATGGTTTATTGAAACAGGAAAGGGTCCTAAGTTCTTGATGAGATATGGTTTTGGTTGTACTATGTTTTTCTTGATTGTGTACTCAATGATAAAGTTCAGCCCCCATATGAAATCAATGTGCTTTTCAGTTATGCCAATCTCAGAGAAGGTCTTCTGTGGCCAATTAACTTGTCTCCCCAACAACCAATTCATCAACTGGTTTTGCGTTACTTGAGTTGTTCAGTGAAGACTCTCGTGAAATTTAATTTTCATGAAGTCAAGGTCATTGCAACAATGCCTTCAATGATGCTTTTGAAATATTGGTAGAGGAAATAATTTAAGCTGCAGTGTGGCTTCAATGATTTTATGTTCTCAAGTGTAAAATCCAAATGGATGTTGCAGGAAGTTGAACCTATGGCCTGACTTGGAGAATGACTTTAGCAAGAAGTTGGTTTGCTTATTCAACTTTTTTAGCAGAAGCAAGTACAAAGGTTTTGGGCTTGATAAAAATGGGAATTCTCTCTTGAGATTTGGATATTTTTGTTGCAATTAATTATTGGGTTTTTGGGTTCTGATCAAAACCAATCAAAATTTGATGTTGGAAAAAAGCTTTATATGAATGGTAGTAGTGTTAGAAGTTTTGATCAAAATTTGATGTTGGAAAAGAGCTTTATATGAATGGTAGTAGTGTTAGAATAGTGATGCTGGGATGCGATTTTGTCTAAAACACCATTTTCTGTATATTTGGCCTTTATCCAAGGGGCCTCCAACTATTGTAATTTTGGACTAAATAGTAATACAATCCTCTTTAGTACCCAACAAGGGCCTCCAACTATTGTAATTTTGGACTAAATAGTAATACAATCCTCTTTAGCACCCCAACAATTGAAAATTCAGATTCTTTTTTGGTATACTTTGTCATTGGTTGGTTTCATTGGATGGTTTCTCTATGTTTCAACAGTTTCTTGATATGCTTTTCAAGTGTGGCTTTGATAATGAGCACTTATGGATCTGAACAATTGGGGCCTTGATGATTGGCATGCAACATAAAAAGGGTGAGAAATGCCAATTCTATTCTAATGAATTCAATGAAAATGGAGCACTTCAATTCTCTCTCTCTCTCTCTCTCTCTCTCTCTCTCTCTCTCTCAACATGTTTCTGCAAAATTGTTTAAAGACCATCCATCCAACCTACTGTTTTTTTTTCTTTTTTCTCCCCCCATCCAGCCGACACTTAGTGAGCAGCAACTATGTGTAATAAAATGAATCTATACTTGTTGAAATAACGAAGTTGTTAGAATCACATGTTTACTAATGGAGAGTTAGTGATTCAATTGTAGCATCCAATGTAAAATTAAAACTATGGGAGCTTGATCAGTTTCTCAAAGTCTAGGAAACAGAGTACAAAAATGGTATTGAAATTGTAAAGTACTGGATAATCCAATTACGATGAACTTCAACTCCAATGAACTCTCAAACCAATTGCAACTGGTATGATTATTTGCATGTTACAAATTAGAGTGTCCAGATTGGTGTAGCCATCAGATTGGATGTGGACGTCTAATTTGGGGTTCCACTCCTTTGTGTCGATTATAACTATCCCTCTGAGTTTCTAATCGTATTCCTTTATTATACTCCATACAACCCCATGACGAGGAAGATGCACAACCAAACTGTGAAGATTTGTGCCTTCGCGGGCTTGTGGATCACTGGCCTCCCATAATTTGTGTTTTTGCTTTCAAATACTTAAAAAGTAAAACTTCTTCAGTTACCAATTGATTCTTGGTAACTAATTCTCAAAATCAATTCGGTTGTTGTTAACTGCTTGAACATAGTTGACAATGTTCTACAAGCTTGCAGCAATCAGCCCCTGTATATTCCAGAGGAGACTAATTTAGCGTGAAATTCATCATAACATATTTTCTGAAAAGGAATAAAATAACACATATTGGTCTACTACATAACAAGTGGAACAATAGACCATTTGTCAGCAGTTGATGAAAGATACATATCAGGATATAAACTTCATCTACAGTGTTCAAAAGAATCAAAAGCATCAAGTGTAGAAGAACTAAGAGGAAAGCTATATCACAAGGATATGACTCAAAATAACTTGCCCATGTCACTTCCAATCAATCTCACACTCAAGCCAAAATTTCTCAGATGGAAGAAATATTGAGTTATGATCTAGTACAAATAAAGATGCTAGCACGACGCTGCCAAAACATACAGTTGATAGAAACATGCACATACTGAATAATATAGTTAAAAGACAAAAAGAAGAAAAAAATAACAACCTAAAAATAGCACAAAGAGTGAAACAAGAAAATAATAGCTACAGAAACACCATTATATACAAATTATTAAAGAGAGTAATACAACATCGGGTTTAAGTGCAGTTCTTGCAAACTCATATCAAAAGCATAGCCACACCAATCCTCAGTTCAATTAATCACTTACAGTTTCATTATTTGGGTAGAAGCCACTGAAATCATCGATCAATCGTTTTGACAAGAATTGCAGTCCTATATATTGAGAGAAAAATCATAGCTAGAAAATTAATTAAGTTCGTTAACCTAGAAGAAAAACATAAATTAGAAAAAATTTGTTAAATTAGACCCACATTTCCGTGTGGAGAAATATAACAAAGACAAGAGCAACATTTATATCACAAAATCACTTTCAATAACAATAATTAAATACCCATAAATTATTATTCAATGATCGAACAAAAAGTCAAGTAATAATGTGCCGATTATAGGCCGATTTCCAAGAGATTTTCCAAGTTGAAGAAATGCGAGAGAGTATATATATTTGCGATTTTTATTGTCTTCTTTGCTAAGCAGTAGAAAAAAGTCCAAATCTTTGGACCTTGTTCTGAAATAAAATTGAGGTTAGGTGCGCTAAATTGAAGCTCTGGTTAGAAGCATTTTATCCAAGAAATAAAAAACTTAATAACTAAAAAACAAGAAAGAAATTGTAAGGAAAGAGAGAGAGAGTGAGATAGGAATTGGAAAATTTATCTAATAAAAGAAAAAACCCAACAATGTTATGTTTCCAGGCTTGGTTTATTTTTCAATAAAGTCTTGCTTGGCTTAGTTTATTTTTCAATAATGTCTTGTGCTTTGCACGAGCAGCTATTGTTTAGGTATTGTTCACTTGTATTTAGGAGTCCGTTGCTTAATGTTAGGAGTTGTGGTAGACGGTTTCTAATAGGGTTTCCATGATACGCGTGGGTAGTTGTTGAAATGGGTTACATTCTTATTATATAGAGATTGTGGGTAGAATAATCCGGGAGGTGGTAGAGGGTTAATAAGGGGCTATAAATATCTCATTGTAATAGGGAGAAAGGAGATAATTATCAATATCTAGAAAGGAGGCAATTATCAATATCCTATGCCCAGCACTTCAAGAGGTTTAGTTTCCCTCGAAGAAACTACTAATCGTCTTTCTCGTAAATCTCTTCTTATACTCTATCTTGAGTAAAAAATTCCTCTCAAAAATAGGTAAAAGTAAGAACAAATTGGTGTCTCACGAGTTGAGATATCTAACCCAGGATTTTAACGTAAACACTTTCAACGAACAACTTCAAACGAACAACAACATCAAACTCGCTTCAGCAAGTCGAGCCCATAACAATTTGGTATCAATAAGCTAAAAAAAGAAAAAATTCCTAAAACAGACAGACCTAATTCTAATTTTAGAGAATTACATTGATTTCCTTTGAAAAAATACGTATTTTTTAAATTTAAAAGCTAAAAAAACCTGCAACTCAAAAAATCGCAAACCTGATTTGAATTGGGGATTCATTTCCTGCAATCTTGATGGGGATTGAGATGGAGAGAAGATTTTGGCTTTAATTGGGATTGAGATGGAGGGAGGCTTTGAGTCGTTGTTTATTTGCAGATGCCCAAAGTTCTTCAATCTTCATAGGTCCATTGATCTATTTGCAGGTTATTTGCATGCTCAAACAATAAGAACGATTTGTAGAACTAGTTTTGCACCTTGCTGCTCCCCACATGTAACAAGAGGGAAAAAAAAAATAGAAATGAGAGAGAGAGGGTCTAACCTAGAAGATCCTTAAGTGGTCAGAGAGAGTGCTTCTGGTGGTCAGAGAGAGAGAGAGAGCGCGCGCTTTGTCGTTGTAGAGAGAAGATGAGAGGCTTGATATCCAGTAAAGCGGGAAAGAGGGAAATCATGATAATCGAGAAGATTTGGAGGTTTCCAGGTTTTCAATTTGAATTCAAATTTTGAAAAGGGAATATTTACGTATTAATTTCAACCATTGGATTTAATTTAATCTAATGGATAACTCTGTGCTAACAAACCATTTCTAAGAAAACCGTTGCATTGGATCACTTCTTGGTACGAGGCATTATTGTGTCATGTTTTATCTTCCTCGTTCAAGAACCAAATTTGTTCAAATTTATTATCCAAAAATTATATAGTAAATCACCATTGCTACTCCAATGGCATTCTTTTCATTCGTTTAAGGGTGAGATATATATAAGATGCCCATCTTATAATATACAAGTAAAGTGTACCTCTAAATTTTGTTGAAAGAAGTGGTTTTGGTGTCAAAAACCCTAGGAAAACTTGAAAAATCCATGTTCAACGCTAATTATGAAATTTAAAATTCCAACAATAGTGTTGATCAAGCAAATCTATAAGTATTTGAAAATCTTGAAAATACAGTCTAGATAACTTGTTATAAGACGCACTATTTTTAGAACTTGAAATTCTTTTGTTTTCTTTATATTCATTACCTCCAAGTTTAATCTTGAGGTCAAGATGATCGATAGACTGCTTTTTCAACTTCATAACATTCTTTTTTTACCGAGTACTGAGGTACGCATACTTCTAAAGTATAAAGTTGTAACCTTAAATAAACTCTCTTATGCAAATTGTTAACCAAACTAGAACTAAAGATCTTATAGCAAAAATCTCATATAAATAATATTAAGATCTTATAGAAATCTAAAGAGTATGCATTAGTTTTAGAAATCTATAAATCAACATTTACGTCATGATTTTAAAGTCAATGAGATTATGTATATCATTTGATCATTTAGTACTAGTAAATCATACATACTCCTAAGAGCATACCCATATCTATATGTCCGTATTTATCTATCAATTACATATAAACCCATCATCTTTTCTAGAAACTACAAAACTATGTTTAGAAAAGTACAATATGCTAGTGATTTTTTATTTTTTTGACACAATTAAATAAGATTTTCATTGAAGAAATGAAAAGGTACACCACTGGCTCAAGCCCGAGAAAAAGAGAAGAAAAGAAGAAGAAAGAAACAAGAAAAGGTAAAAAGATCAAAGAGAGAGTAAAGGGTTACAAAGAAGTGTCATTAAAGATCAAAGAGAGAGTAAAAGGGTTACAAAGAAGTGTCAATTAAATGGGTTACAAAGAAGTGGTATTTTTGGCTTACACTATCCGTTAAAGATTTCATCCCTCTGTTGATATGAGAAAAGAGCATTTGTTTGGTGAGTCATCTGATTTCCATCAAGTCACCTCCCCATTTCCAAGGGATAGAATTAGGGCCCAAGCATATCATTTGATGACATTGGAAGTATCACCATCAATACTCAAATAGAGAACACTACCATCAACATTAAGCACACAATGCTCAAGGCCCAAAAATTCTGCTTCAATTGCTTGACACATTGGAAGGTGCCCGCCCCTGTCCATATAATATAATATGACACATGCAAAGGGCGAAGCAGTTCTATAGTTTTAACCATTAAAAACAGGATAGTTCTAAATAATTGGATGGTTGGTTGTATATAATTCATTCATAAAACCGGTCAGGAGTATTTTGATCAATTTATATTTTACGAATTATTTTTTAAATATTTTTATTAAATACACATTGATAAAAAAAATAAACGCTTGCTAATGGGCCTACGCCGACATTTTCCTATTCAATCTGCTCAGATTCAATCTGGGTTGTTGTGCTCATATGTTCATATGAGCTAGTGGGCTAACCCCCTCTCTCTCTCTCGATAGATATATATATATATATATATATATATAATAAAC